GGGGTTGGGTGGTTTGGAGGGGACGAGGCCGCCCCCGCGCAGGCCCTCGGGCCGCTCCCCGGAGCGTGTCCCGGGGAGAGGGAATTCCCGTCCCGTCCCCCCCCGTTCTGGGGCTCCAGCGGAACCGCGGGCAGGTGGAATCCCGCGGCTCCCGGTCCCGCTCCCGGTCTCCCCCCGGCCCCCGCTGCTGTTCCCCGTTGTCACAGCACCCTCCTTGTCCCTGTCCGTCCCGTTTCTCCTTCCCTCCCTTCACGAACATTCCCTCTATCCCCACCCCTGCTTCCCTCTGTCCCAGCCGTGTCTGATTAATAAGGATAGAAAATGTAGTCCCTACAGTTTTTATTCTTTTATTTCTGTGTCCCGCTCCAACTCTAACCTGAACCTGTTCTTAGTTCCCAACCTTCCTTTATTTAACGTGATTTCATTTCATTGGAGGCCCCACTGACTCTGCTGAGGAGCCTCCTGCCCCCGTTAAACTTGCCGCCCCGGGGTGGGATTTGCCCCCACTGCCCTCAGGGGTAAAAGCAGAAACCCCCCTGACCCGGCTGAGGTGTCCCCGGGGATCTCAGTGTCCCCCCTCCCCACATGCTGTGGGTCAGTGTGCGGGTCGGGCACGGTGCCTTTGCTTAAAAATAGTTGCGTCTCACCCAGAGCTTTATCTGAGAGCAAATAACCCCCAGATGATTCACTTCTGTTTGGATTGCCGCAACCCCGGGATTTGGCACCCTGGGCAGGAGCACAGTCTCACCATGGACTCCTCTTACCCAGCTTGGGACAATCGCACCAGGAATTTAACCTTTCCTTTGGTACTAAGTACTATGGTGAAGCAAAATTATGGGGAAAACACGCTGAAAAGTGTGTCTGGGTTTTCTTTTTGGGTCTCTGCTATAACTACATGTTTTCCAGAGTAGTCGAAGGAGTAAAAGGAAGATCTTCCTTTAGGAGCTGAGCTTCCTTCATGTCCCCATGGCTGATTCAGGGTGATCCTTCCTTTTAAAAGTGCACAAATGAAAAAGCCAAGTGTGTCTCACACCTTGGTGCTCCCAGCTCACGCTTGCTTGGGTTTTCTGACTTTTACACTGAAATATCCCTCGTCTCCCCCCAGCCTCCTACGTGATAACGGATCAAACGGAGCTACGGAAGATCAAGTGCATGGAGAGGACGGGGATCAGCATAACGAGGGAGCTGATGTGGTGGTGGGGTGTGAGGCTGGCCACCGTGCAGCAGCTCCTGGACCTGCTGGAGGGGCTGCAGCTCTACCGCGCTGCCCAGGTCATCCTGGACTGTGAGTAACTGCCCCTTCCCCGCGTGGGGAGCCCAGCTCCTTCCCATGGCACCCGTACCCCATCCCTGACATCCCCCCCCGGCAGAGGAGACTCTGCTGGGAGTCTCCTGCTCAAATTCTACAATTTGTCCACGGATTCACATTTTCTACTCTCTGACATAAAATTTGTGGTGGGAAGGGAAGAGGTGACCTAGAGGAGGAATCAGCTGGTCCCCCTGGTTCCTCATCCCACCGCTGTGGTGGCCGTCCCGGGTGCCTGTGGGGAGGTGCCGAGAGAGCGGCCGTGCCCTGCGCTGGGGGTGGCACTGCCTCCCATCAGGCCAGCTTTCAAAACACGGCCTAGTTAGGAATGTTTTCACTTTTCATGCATTCTTGTTTCTCCGTGATGTTTTGTCATTATCCTCGTAATTGTCAACAAACTCAGAGTAGAGGAGCATCTGCTCAGTTGTGCCTCTGCAGCCTCCTCTCCTGCACCCTAAGAAAAAGGTTATGAAAAGGAGAAATGGTTATCGACCACCTACGTTACTATTTCTTTGTCTCACTTCATACTTTCTCTGTTTCTGCCACATGTTCTCCTCGATCCCTCTGTCAATTAAACACCCGTAGTTTTTTCTAATTCTTAGCGTGTAATTCTCCCCATCTCCAGGTTCTTCTATTTCAGACTTACCTTTTTTGAGGTAGGCTAGTAGAGTTTGAGTTCAGTCTGCCCAGTTAAGGTAAACCGTTGCCTTATAGGAACCACAACACTTAAACAGAATTTTCCTTTCCACTTTTCTCCATTGAAAATGATGTTTAAATTGCAGCTGTTTCTGTAAGCCACTGTGTACCTTATCCCAGTTCTGCCACCAAATCTGTTGAACCCTGGACAATGTACACTCTGTCTGTGTTGAGTTGCCCTGAACAGTTGAGAGTGGACTGAGTTCCCCTTTTCACACATATCCCCACCCAAAATCTATTTTTTTTTTAATTTTTTTTTTGGAAATGAGGTGTTTGTATGACTTTTGCCAGTTCTCCATAGAGCATGGCTAGAAGTGGAAGTGCCCGGTTTTGGCGCGGGGGCTGTGGGAGCGGAGGGAGGCTCTGCCCAGGTTGGGGTGGGGAGGGCTGAGGCTGTGGGGGCGGTGGGCGCGGGGCGGGCGCCCGGGGGCTGACTCAGGCACCCGGGGCTGTTGCGACAGCGCTGGGCACAGCTGGCACCCGCCGCGCCACGCGGCCCCCGCGGAAAGTCCAGGAACACGTCACGGGCTCTGGCCACGGCCGGGCTCTCTGCTGCCTGCCCCTGCCTTCCTGCCACCAGCCCGGCCTCGCACCTTCCTGTGCTGTGGCAGAAAAAAATCTTCAACTATGGTATTCTGAGCTCTGTTCTCCTTTTTTCCAAAGAAGGCATGTTAATTGCTACAGCACCAGCAGCCTTCAAGCAAATTCTGCCTTAGTACCTCAAACCCACAGACCCGAAAGCGAGCGCTGCTCCATTAATGCACCTGATTTGGGTGTAGTTTATCTGCTCCTGTTCAGTATTTAGCCCAGTTCATTCGTCCATGGACAGTTTCTGGGTGCTCTCCCGTAACACACCACACCTGAACCACTAATTGGCTCCAGCCCTCACCATCTCTCCTGCCGGGGCGCGTTGGGCCCCGCTGTGTCCACTGCCTTACCCCCGTGTCTTCCTTCACAGAGTTCATTGACATTCCTGTGATCCTACTTTATACGGTGGGATTTCATAAAGCAAAACCCTGCATTCTCCTTCTGAGAAACATAAAAACTGAAATTGACCAATTACTGAACGTTTTTACCACTCCAGCAACAATTTTCAGTGTCTGGGCTGTGGCCCCGCACCCATCGGATGCGGAGGGGCAGACGTTAAACCCTGTCCCCCCCTTGCATGGAGCTCAGGGATATTTGTCCCTCTGGCGATGTGGAATGTAAAGCGTGAGGCTTCCAACCCACGAGCAGCTTCCGGCAGCATTGCCATTAAAAATAAACATACAACCCAGACAAAAATAATCACCACCACCACACAGACGCATTTGCTGCTTGTCCGGGGGCTTCTCTCAGCGCTGTGTGAGGGGACGGGTGACCTGCTGCCTCTTGGGATTCATGGATTTACCTGTTTTTGCGAGAGCTCAATTAAAAAACCATTTGTGAGACTTTTGGGACTTCACTTGCCACAAGCTGCAAAACCGGAGGGTTTTCCCCTCGATAAAAATAAACCCCAGCCAACTTCCCCCGGGCTGCAGGAGTGCGCTTCGGCTGCCGCTCCCAAGGAAAAGCTGGGCTTCCAAAACTGCAGCTGGCTGATGGCAGTGAACGGGGGTCTCCCCAGGGATTTCTGCAGGCTGGGCAGTGAACAGGGGAAGGAAATATTAAGAACTGGTGGCAAGAAACAGCCACGTTCAGTTCAGCTCCTGGAGGCCGTGGGGCGGTGTGAGGGTCTGACTCCGGTGACAGAGCTCCCGTTCCCCGCGTGGCCGCGATGCGATGTCGGAGGGTTCCGTGAGGGGCTGCGTCAGGCCTCAGGAGTGATTTTGGTTTTCACTCTGAGTTCTGTAAAGTGATATGAAGGCGGGATAAAGAGGCTTTAAAAGAGGATGGAAGAGACAAATCCTGGGGAGTGATTGATTTTTAGTTGTTTCAGGATGATCAATATTAATTTTTGTCCCAGATAATTCAAATGCAGTAAATGGTAAAACTACCGTGAAATGATCTTTTTAAAAAACTTCTAATAGTTGTCTTTTCTGTTGGAGTCCATAGCAAAGCTTAGTGTTCATTGAAGTTACAGAAAGTCTGGATTATTTTGTTCTGCCATGTGGAAGTCATTATTTTTTTCTGGAATTCACTCAATACGGGCATTCCAGTGAGCGCTCAGTCAGAAGCAGAAGTGATTTCTAGCAGGATCCTTTTAGGTTTAGACAAATCTTTGAGGTCTCCACCCTATACTTCTGCTTTTTTATCTATATCTGAATGTGCTTACTGGGGTGATTCCTCTCGGGCAGACACGGAGAATACGTTGCTGGTTCCATTGGACGCTTCAGAAAGCCAAGTGGTCCCTGCACCATCAGAATTCTCTTCCTTCTCCCTGACCCGAGTCAGACACAGCACATGGGGAGAGTTCTGCTGGCACATTGCTTCCAGGAGAGTCCCTCCAACAGTTTCTTGCCCTACTCTAGCCCTGCTTCTGGATGTCCATCAAAATACATTTTTTTCATTTCAGTTCTTTAGCTTCAGTAGTGACCTGTTTGCGTGATGTGCAGGAAGTTGCAAAATTCACAAAAAACCCTGAAAAATAGGTTGGAAGAGGGAAGTGAGTCTAATTCTAGAGACTTCTAGGTCAAAGCACAGGAGGCAAAAGCCAACAACTGCAGATGCAGGGGCTGTCAGCTGTGACTAAGGCCTGGCTGACAGCCCATTTCTAAAACCCGTGAAATCTGGGGTTTCACAGCGCTCTGACAGGAGCAGAGACACATCCCGGCTCGTGCCGAGTTCTGGTTTGAAGACCTAGTTTCATTCAAGCTGTCAGGGCTTGTCTGCCCTGATCAGCTCTGCCCAACCTTGGTTTGTTGTCGGGAGCAGAGACTGTAAATGAAACATGCTGCTTCCTGCCTGTCTTGGACACTCCCAGGGCTTTATCTGTGCGAAAAAAATAAAGAACAAAGCTACGATCTGATTTCAAATGCAACCAGAGGCTGCGGCTTCTGATTCCGAGGCCATCACCGCCCTCAGGATGCAGAGTTGATAAAACAGTGGGACAAAAAAAAACCCTTGTAGTAAAGCTTGTGTTTATTTTCTTTTATATAAAAATAAGACATTCATTTTGATTTTAAGACAATGCTGATATTGCTGATAAAGGAAGCTGTGGTTATCAGGCAGGAGAAAGTCCGTACACCATCCCCAGTGCACACTGCCAAGCTCCTTTTCAGCCGCAGTGTTCAGTGTGTTCATGGAGAAGAATAAATAGAGATGCTGCTTCAGAAGATATTGACAGCCTCGCAGGATCTTGCTTTTGGGGTTTTTTGGCTTATTTTTTTTCCCATCCGAAATGTAGCCTAATCTAATTTTAATAATTCACTCTAAGATGTACACACGTCTCAAGTTCCTGAATGCTGAAAGCATCTCCATACTTCTTCCCACTGCTTTTCCCAGCCTGATTCTTAGATTTCCCAAGCTGGGTACAACAAGGATCTCTCTCTCTGGAGCGGTAATGAATCAATAATTTGGCCTTTACTTTTTCCCTATATATCAGTAAGTCTTGACCTTTCACCATTTTTATGTTTTCCTTGGGTTGTCTCCAGTTTCTTTCTTTCTGTTCCTAAGTAAGAGTATGATTCTTTATTGCAAATAGTTCTATGTAGGAACGTGTTCAGGGGCACCATCACAACACTGAAACCACACAACTGAAACCATCCCAAAACATTTAACTGACTAAACCCAACACAACTCTGTCAAACTTCCTCTCGTGACAATTAACAAAGAACTAGATGCCTTCCTTAGGCTGGGAGATATTTGTGATTTGAGATCGCTGGCTGAAAGACATTATATAGAAAATGACAAAATAAATACTCTATTATTGCTAATTTCCTATTACGAGACTATCATTTGCATGGCCATTGTAGGTATTTGTTTTAAGCTATCACTCCTTCCTAATTTTCAGTAGTAGTTAATGTCAGCAATATGGTCTGAATTTAAACACCCATTGTAGTCCCGCAATTTCACAATAAATTGCCAGAGTGTGATTGTAATGTTCCCATTAATTTACAGTCAGTTTTCCTGACTAGGATTTTATGCTGGTAACTGATCGGAGTCAGACTCTGTGTTCCCTGATAATCTTCATCTCTCCTTTCTTCTCTTTTGAAGGGACATCAGCCTCTACTACTGCCAGCTCTGAAAAAGAAGAGCTGGTAGAGCCACCTAAACAGGAGAACGTATCCTTAACTCCCACAGAAAACAAAACTAAAGGGAGAGAGAATGAGCTAAGCCTGTTGCCATCACCAGACTCCTCACACCCGGGAGTATCGGCAGCAGGGGGTAAGTAACAGACTGAATTGGCTTTAACACTGGCATGACTGAGCAGACAGGATGCTTCCCAGCTGCTTTCACTATGGAATCATTAATACATTGCTCTTGGAAATGGTCATGTGTGAATATTTGCCTTTTTCCTTGCACTGTTGTCTCCTGAGCTGTTTATTCCCAACTTTAGCACGCAGCCCCCTGTTCCTCCTTCCCAGAGCTCTCTCGCTGAGGCAGACGCTGGCTATGGCTGTCCCTGGGGTCTCAGGTTGTCCCCCAGGTCTCTGTGGACCCCGGGGTCCCCTCACGGCTCCGTACCAGATCCCCACATACACTTCCCCCGTGTCCCTCTCTCCATGCAAATAAACCGTGCAGGGGTGGGAGCGGGCCCACAGGACCCACCAGCCCCACAGACACGGAGAGCTCCGTGTCCCCAGCCAGGACCAGCCATCAGTGTGCTCATCCCACAGAGAGGAACCAGGAGCACAGCTCTCTGTCTTCCCACAGCTCCTCACAGCTTATCCAGAGCTAGGAAATTCAGCAAAATGGCCCAGACCTTCACAGTTACACACAGTATTGCAAAAACAGGTTGCATTTTCAGTTTATTGTTTCAGTTTCAGGTGCTGTTCCTGAAGGAGCCTTGTTTTCCCTCCCCTCCCCACCGCCTCCCCCAAGAGACCTTTTGAAATCTTTACAGTCAAATCCTCCCGTCTCATCAAGCGTGAAGGTAAATCCCTTTGTACTCATTGATTATAACAATGAAAATTGACTTTATGACATTCTGTGTTTTTTCAATTGAAGTTTATCCCTCTACTTGTATAAAATACAGATCGGGTGTGTAAGTGATGGTAATGCTACAGTTATATTACTTATGGTTTACATTACTGTTTTTGCAGAAAAGGGGAAAAATTAACACCATTGCATACTGCGTAGCTCAGCACAGAAAACACAAACACCAGTTAATTTTGAAGAAGATTCCAGTCTAGATTTTACACAGAACTCAACATTTCTGGTGGGATGACAGGGCAGGGCAGTACATAGCACAGACTAGTCAGAATGGCGTACTTTGTTTAGTTTAATTTTATACTTAAAATGTAGTTTCTGCTCCAAACTGGACTAGTACCAAATTTTGGTGGGCTTGCCCAGAGCCTTGTGTAGCTGCCAGTTGACAGTTCCCTCACCTCTCTGAGCTGGTTCCACAGCTCGACCAGCTCCTTGTGGGAGGTTTTTCTCGTGTTCCTGATGATTTCCATGCAGTCTCTGGTTCCTCCCTGGAGCTCTCTGTTCTGTAAGACAGTCTGGCTGGATCTGGCCTGTGGCTCTCCGAGGATTTCCCAGATCCATGAGCACACTCTGGTCCCATCACAGTTCTCTCTTGGCCAGTTCTCTTTGGTTTATTTTGTTTGAGATTTTTTTTAAAGAAGATTGTGTTTTAAGACTTCAAACTCTCCCAAAAGAACATGGTTCCAGAGCACCAGCCAAGAGAAGATTGCTACAAAGAATGCAGTAGTTTGGGAGTTTCTTGAGAGGGAGTTGTTTTGCTTTCTCCAGGCTGGAGCACGTGGCAGTTGTGAAAGCTGGGTGATCAGGCACGCTGGAACTGCAGTAACAATTGGCATTAGTACCTGCTGCACTGGCAGCAACACAGTATTGTGCAATGCCAGATGCTTCAGTAGGTGTGAAGCTCCAGAACATAAACACATTAAGAGGGACCCTACTTTCTCATCCAACTTTTTCTTGATACATGCCCCAGTCAAACAGATTAATATTTTCTCTAGTTTAAATTAACATCACTTCAAGTAAATATATGGACTTTTAAACAAAACTAGGTCTGTTTTCAGGGAGAGGTGGCAATGCAAATCAGTAACTGTTTTCTAGACTCTTCTACTATGCAAAATGGTTACATGAGCAAAGCACACCAAGAGAGGTATTACAAAGGGAAACCCCAATGAGAGATTGCACAGCAGCTTTCACGATTCCTTTCAACAATCACAGTGATTGCTTAAATCATGGAAAAGAAAATATGACACCTGAAAGAAGGAAAAAGCGTATGAATTTTCATGAGATAAACTTGTTTCTTCTACAACTGTGCAGCCTTGCAGCTCTCCTGCTCCTCAGCAGGAGACAACGACCGACCTCCCCAGCGGGAGTCTCCTGTGGACCCCGAGGGAAGTCACTAACGCCACAAACGGCTTCAGCGACAAGAGCAGGATTTGTGAAGGCACCTTTGCGGATGTCCACAAAGGTCAGAGGAACAACATGGTGTATGTCATCAAGAGACTGAAAGAGGCAAGTGCTCCACCTTCCCTTGTCCTTTGAAGGGGTTATATTATTAGTATCTCTTGAGTGTTAGCATCTGTTGTTTAACATTGTGTGGGCAAGGAACTGGAGCAGCTACAGAAGAGGAGAGGTGAAAGGGGAAGGGTGTAAAGTAAGGAAACCTCTGGATTCAGCAAGCACATGAGAGAGATTTTGCTCACGGGAATAGTTTTATTCACTCTGTCAGTGGGAGTAGCCTGCAATGCAGCTACCTGCCTCCACGATTGCATCAGAGGTCTGGGGTTTGGTCTAATATTCAATTAGTTCTTGCCTTTGACACAAGTTGCCATCACTGGTACTTGGCACATTTCTCAAATAGCTTGTCATCTGGAGACTAACAGGTCTGTATAAATGCAACGTCTCAAGAGCAACCATTGACATCCTATTGCATGTTTTGACTTTTCAGACGGAATGCACAAACCCAGATTCCACCCAGAGATTCTTTCACACAGAAGTACAGATCTGCTTTCGGTGAGCACGTGTTTGGCTGAGGAGGGTGTGTGTGTCCTGGGTGCCACGCTGGCCTGGGGATGGCAGGGTGTGCAGGGGCTCTGCCGCAGCCCCGGGGAGCCGCGGGCAGGACACAATTCCCAGAGGCCTTCCATTCAGGAATGTATTCCAGCTCGGGAATGTCTTTTTCTGTGTTGCTCTTATTTCATTCGGGAATCACTGTTGCTCTGTGCCCGCAGGTGTTGTCACGTCAACATTCTGCAGCTGGTGGGTTTCTCGGTGGAAACGGGCTTGCACTGTCTGATATACCCGTACCTGCCCAACGGGTCGCTGCAAAACCAGCTCCAGCCTCAAGTAAGACATAACCTGGGCCTATTGTCTGTCTGAGATCGCAAGCCCTGCCCTGTTATTGTATCAAAACCAGTTATATCTCTTTGACTTCTGAGAAACAGCCAAAAAGAAAAAAAAGTGCCCAAATAGCCTGAGCACAAGCCCTAGAGAGGCTGCAGCTCCTCTCCGGTTCTACTGCAAAGCAGAGCAGGGCAACAGGAAGTTTCTGCTCAGTGGCCTTCAGCCTTTAGGTTTTTCAAGTAGTAAGGAATCTGCACAAGGTGTCCATTCATAGTGTAGTATTCCACCAGATTTGGGAATATGTTGCTGTAGAATCCATCACTGTATTCACTGGCATAACAAGCTGCCAAGGTTTACAAGGGCTTAAGAGGGAACAGTTTGAGGTGTTCACACCTACAGAAAGAGCGTTTCCAGGGGAGATCACAGGGCAGAGAAACAGTAGAGAAGCAGTCACCAAAACCAGCTCTGTGCCTCAGAAATGGCCAGTCCTTGGTGTTTTTAACACACGTGATCCTTGCTGTGTCCTCATCTCACTGTGTCCCACAGCAGGAAAATGTGCAGCACGATATACAAGAATAGGGCCCTTCCTTGGCCTAGAAATCATCAGTTTCTGCCTTGGACCAAGCTTTTGCTTTAGGTCAGCAGGAGTTTGGATTGGGACTACAACTAAATCTGTGCTTTTCAAAGCTATTAATGTCTTACAGGGCTTTTACCATTTTTTTCCTCACTTCCTTGCAGGCTGGTTCTTCTCCACTGCCCTGGGACACGCGAGTCAGCATTGCTGTAGGACTCATCCGAGCTGTGGAGTATTTACATAACTTTGGAATTCTCCATGGGAATATCAAAAGGTGAGGGCTTTGGCATAGCAGCACTTCCCTGGTCACTTCCTCATTTCAGGGTTTCTTCAACAATAATGGCTGAAAACATGCAATTTTGAAATGCACTCACAGTATCTTTCTGCTGTCGCTTGTTCTGCGGGGTCTTTACTGTTTATGTTTCACCTGCTGCTCCTCTAAAGGATGGAATTATATTCTTTTGAAGTAATTTTTGGAGTGCCTGTTCTTCCCCTCTTTCTACCATTCTTTGTCCTTTCGTTCACACACAGCAGGCCAAATGCTGGAAACTTCCAGTGCTTACCTTTAAAAGTGTAAACCTAGAAGCCCCTACCTGAAGTTAAAGTAATTACTTGACCAATATTGTTATTTCTCTTTCTTTATAACAGCTCAAATGTCTTGTTGGATGAAAACTTTACACCAAAGCTTGGACATTCAGGTCTGCGATTGTATTCTGCTGATAAAAAATCAGAATATGCTGTGATGAAAACCAAAGTCCTACAAGCTTCTCTTACTTATCTGCCAGAAGATTTTATCAGACATGGGCAGTTAACCGAGAAAGTCGATATATTCAGCTGTGGTGTGGTACGTTGCCTGTTTTCCATGTTCTGCTGCATTCTTTGGTGCTTCTAGACAGGAAATTGGACAAAAGAGCTCGTGCGTCACAGTTACTTTGCCAGCAATTTCCTGTCGTAGTTGCTGAGGACATAACATGTTGAAATCCTGGTTTTGATTATGTTCACACTCCAAATAGCCTTCTGTTGGTGGCAAAGTCAGGTGAATCTTTTGAACAACAGAAACAAGATTGTTTCTTGTTGCAAAAAAATTATTAGTAGTGATTTAAAAAAAAAAAAAAGAGTAGGAGAAAGACTGCAGTTTGGTTCTCAGAATTCTTGCAGATTTTCCATATGAACCACTACAAACATCACCTGCTAATTTGGAAGTTTGACTAAAATAATTGATGGCCTGTGATGTCATCTGTCTCGAGGTGTTTCCATTTAAATATGAAGTTACTCTGTTCAGTGTGATTTCTTATCTCAATTCAGAATTACTTTATTCTCATCCTTTGTTTCAAAAGCATCTATTGTACCTAACTGTAAAATTTGGACTTGGCTCTGCAGGTAGATGTAAAGTGCCACAAAGATTTCCCAGATCTGGCTTTGTTAAGCCATCTGAAGTAAAAACATCATTTCAAAATGCCCTGGAAATTCAGTATTTCTTTAGTTACAAAATTCATTTTTAAAACTAAAATGAATTCTGAACAATTTATTTTATCTTCCAAATATACTTCCTAGGTGTTAGCAGAGATCCTGACAGGGATGAAGGCACTGGATGAGGGAAGACAGCCTATCTATCTGGTAAGAAAAACCGGAAATAAGAAATACCAACACTCATGGATGGGGTTGCTGTCATGAAGTGAATTTTCATTTATATAAACAGAGCTTATTATTTGAGACTGCTGCACACATCCTGAAGACGGGGGGTTTAGAAGCCATATCCTGGTTCCAGCAGCCTACCTGCACATTCCCTGAGTGCTGGCCCCATCATACCAGGAGATAATTGGTGTTTAAACACGTGCCTATTGCAGAGACAAGGCTTTGTGCTGAAAGGCTGCTGCATGGTATTTCTGTGCCAGCAAGAGGTGTTAGGAGCCAAACTGAATGGGGAAACCCGGGCAGGCGGTGACTGCAGTTCCTCGTGGTGTTTATTGGGTGTCAACACATTGCACCAGTCTCTGGAATTTTCCTCCTGGCCCATTTGCCCAGGCAGGGGTTAGAAGGACACAAACCACTCTCGCAGGCGGCCGGAGCTGGCCGGGCTCAGTGACCACCATTCCCACCCTGCTCAGGAGAGCAGTCTCCACCTCTGCTCCCTCCATGGGGTGTGCTCCTTCCCCACTGCCGGCTCCTTCCAGCCTTTGCGGGGAAAATTACAGTATTCTTAATTACTATTCCCAAGCAATTCAGCAGGGTTCAAATGGATTCAGAAAACAAAGGATCTCAGGTTAATGATTTCTTTACCAAACATTTGAGAAGCCCTTTGTGGGAAGGCTGCTATGGGCAGTGTTCGTTATTTTTCATTGCTACAAATGGGCATAAGCTCAGAAGAGCTGGGTCTGCTTCAGTGAATTTGACATCAGACCCATGCAAAGAAAACCCTTGGCCTTTTCTCTCCTGTGAAAACAAACATTTCTGTCAGTTGCAGAAACGGAGACTCTTAAAGCTGTTAGGTCTGTAAACCAGCCATTAAGGAGCAATAATTACAAATATATGGCAAGACTCATATTGTCAGCAATTCAGGTAGAAATGAATGTTTGTGTTAATTCTGCTTTCACTAATGTATCTCTTTCCTTTGAGCAGAAAGATATAATTGCTGATGAAATTCAAACAGCGAAGGAAAGCTCACGCTCCAAAGTGAAAAACTGTGAAAAGCTGGCTGCCAAGGAAATATGCAGTAAATACCTGGAGAGCAGAGTGGGACACTTGCTGGAGGAGGTTGCTGTTGATTTTGCCTCAGCCATCTGCCTTTGTCTGAGAAAGAAGAATGCTAACATCGCAGAGGTAACGGTTTCAATACATCACCAAGATTTCAGTCTTCTCAGAGCAAGGTCACTCATGCCTTGCCTGTTTTTGAGTGCTGACAGGGGAGACCGTGTGTAAGCAGGGGGCCAGGAATTACTCTGCATTCACAGATTTTGCTGTTATAAACAGGTACTTGAAGTGATGGAAACGGCTGACAATAAATTAAGAGAGCATTTCATCTGTGGGAGCAGCCTTTCTGGGTTCTCCATGAACACACCGGAGGAAACAGATGACGAGACGACGAGCGTGAGCGTGGAGGTGCCGCCCGGCGGGATGCAGAGGGAGGGCATGGCCCAGCCCCCCACCCTGACCAGTGCCCACCCATCCCCTCCTGCCATGGCAGCCCTCTCACCCGACATCTACTGCGGACACGTGTCCCGCATCCCTTGTGAGTCAGACGAATCCACCAGTTTTGTATGGGATCCCTCAGGGAAATGCCCGGAAGAGCTGCCCAGCTCCAGCTGTAAGGATCTGGAGAGCATGGCAGGCGGTGAGGGCAGGCCCGGGCAGGCACAGCCTGCAGAGGGACCCCAGGACAGACACACGTCCTGTGCCAAGGGCCATGACACCCCGGAGACAGCGTCTGCTGCACGGAGCGCCTTCCCGCAGAGACTCCCCGACCCAGACTCCTCCTGCTCCACACAAGGTAAATCCAGATAAACCGGGTCACACACAACATCCAAAAGCGTGTCATCTTCAGGCTGTTTTGGCGAAACTGCCCCTGTTCCTGTTAGGTTGACCAAAGTCCCTGTAAAAGGGCTCTAGAATTACAATAGCAGGGACAAACCACTCTGCTCCAGAACTGCTCAAGGTTCTTCTTCCTACTTATAAACACATTTCAGTAAATCTTTTATCCTTGGTTATGATTTTACCAATAAATCTACAGATTTTTTTCTGGTTTTCTATCAGATTTTTTTCCTAAGCCAGTTTTGTTTGGATTTTTTTGTTTTAAATTTAAAATTATTTTCTATTCCTTAGGCAATAGATGGATTCTGTTCTCAATATTTGGGCTTTTTTTTTGTCTTTCAGCATTAGCCAGAGAGACATCTTGGCAAATACAGATAAATGATAAAAAAAAGAAGCTCATGGAAAATATTTTGCTGTATGAAGAAGACAAATTAAACAGTTCTGAACTTTTTGAATCATAAATCGGATGGATTTATTAGCAGTGGCCAGCTCAGAAGAAGAAATCGGGACTGTCTCTCCATTAGAAAGATGGTAAAAGTGTACCTTTCATGTCAGGTTAAGTAGCAGATCTGGATCAGAAACATTAGCCCTGACTGCAGAAAACAGAAGTGATCCTACTGAGAAGAAACAGAAACCATCTGTTCTAGGGCAGATTAAAAGCTCAGTGCCTCTCTTTGAACAGAAGTGCCTTCTTCCTTTTCATCTGCAATGTAAAAAGCTGTGGTAAACACAAACAATTGCCAAAGTAATTTTGGATCCTTTTGCAGTGTATTTATTTCAGAAAGCATCTACATAAAACGTATGTCTTATTAAAGCCCACAGCCCTAGAAGCGAGAGGGCAAGCGCTGCTCAGCAGTGAGCGATGCCCCTTGTCGTTACCCCACTGGGTACGGGCAGGCAGAAGCCTCCAGAGATTGGAGAAGGTTTCAGCTTTCAAATGAATCTCTCCTAGTCCATATAATCTTATTCCACATACTCAAAAACTGCATTAGCAGAGAGGGGAATTTCTATGCAAGTTCTCAGACGTGTTCTACGTGACGCATCTCAGTTTGATTTGCACTGAACATAGTTGTAAGTAAATAATTTAAGCCATGTCAGTCTGCTCCACGAGCTGCTCTTCTACACGTGACACCAGCTGAAGTCTGAGTTTCACTGTCAGGAGCTCTGAGACAGTGTTCCATACTTCATGAGGGTATTTTTGGAAGTTAATGGTTTTCTAAGTGTCCTTTACATGTTGTTAAGGTTTCTCATTGTGTTTCACATGGTAACTGTTGTATATTTTGGAATAGGGACAAGATTTTAATTTAAAGTATCTTTAATTTTCTTATAGGTCACTTGAAATTTGGTTTATTTATTTTGGCAGTGGGTTAAAGAATCGGTGGAAGATGAGCAAGTCAGGGCCCTGTTCATGGAGCCACGTTCTCCAGGTGTTCTCAGAGAGGAATCGGTTCGTGTCTGGGCTCCCCCAACATTAACAGACAAAACCCAGAGCTTATGTGCTGCCAGATTCCTTATCAAGTGAAGGCCCCCTTAACAAAGTGTCCCTTTTACTGTTACGACTATTTATTATTTGTAATATTGCGTATTCCACTCTTGTGCAGTCTAAGGAAACACAGGTCTATTATAAAGCAGAAGTGGTACCAGAACAGGTTCCCAACAGGGAACTGCTGCCTCCTCTGCGCAGGGAACAGGGCCTGATGGACAGAAATGCTGAAATTCACTATGGAGTTCAGGGAATATTTAAAAAAAATATGAATTTATATGTAATTATTTTCGTTGGAATTGTGTAATGGTATAGTTTTACCAGCTTTACATGAAGGTCTCTGAAGGTCTATCTTCTATATTTTTACAGTGCCTGGTTCATTGTGGGTACTATCATGAGCAAGTAAAAGTATTTTAAGTAAAAACCTGACTATTAGAATCACCTACACATTTATGAAATTGATTTCTACACTAAAAACTGGTGAAAATCCTGAATTATAAGTGCCTTGGATACTGTCTATATGTTTGTCACTGTCAGGTTTTTTATTTTACCAGAATGAAACCAAGAACCCATTGGTACCAACATAAGAAACACTGAGTGTATTCAGATCGGTCAGTAACTGCTTAATTATACAGAATTAATTGAGCTACTTTATGGTGCTGAAAATTTAGTATTCCTTGTTTTTCATAGGTGTATTTTGGGAGATGCATGGGGAATACCTCGGGTCCCCTCCAGGAAGAGGAGCACACAGGCACACCCCAGAGCTGAAAGGGAAACATATGCTTTATAAATTGAGAAACATAATTTAGACACAGCTCTGTTTCACACAAATGCTTTACAGGTTTTGCTCTCCTGTAGTCAAAAAAAGAAAACTGGTATTCTTTGCCTTGTTCCACGTTAATTCTAAAACATTCCAGGGTTGATATACATGGTCTTGTGGAGTTCAGAGGTGTATAATGCAACATCCACGAGACGTGCGTAGTCCTACTGCAATGGCACTCTGTTACATGACACGGCTATTCAGTATAACGTAGGTTTTAATCTCAACTTGGCAGATTTATACATTACTGTTTACTAATACCTTTGTGAATAAAAAAACCTGAAAAAAATCCTTTCTTTGTAGCCTGCTTTTTCATGATTTATGGCACAGAAAAATGTATCTCAGTCCACCCTGTTCAGGTACATTTGTGTTCGTAGGGAAGCACCTCAAGGCCTTATTTGCACACAATTAATCATTGGTAATTATTAGTACAAATATATTTATTCACTCACTGTTAAGTAGCTGAGAAAATTTTCACTCTAAAATTAGTAATTACAAGGATACCGAGATACAACTGACATTTATTGTTGTTTAGATGCACAATCTATAGTATCCTTTATCCTTAAAATACTGCAGCTCTTTGTCACAAATAAAGGACAACTCTGCTTTTTTTTTTTTTTTTATACATGAACATTAGAATAAGGGCACAGAATATAAATTTAAAAAAATAATGTATAGTTGTTATAGAACTATGCAATCGTGCAAGTAAAACTCATGTGGGGATTAGCACCTCCCAAAGGTGCTGTTGAAACCCAGAGCCTGGACACCTTCCGACACCGCTGACGAATGCTAAGAATCACCGATTCTTTCACACATTACTCTGTTGTTTCTCGTACGTTTGATTCTAACACTGCGAATCCCTCCCCGCTCACCTTGACACCGCCAGAGGTGTATTTTGTGCCGCGGGAGTTGGTACAGCCCATGCCCGCCGCCCCGCAGCCCTTCCCAGCCCACACGAATGCCCCTCTCTCTTTAAGGCCTCTAATGAGGGACGCCGGCCCGGCCGGGAGGCGGCTCGCTGCAGGAGCGCACAGGGGAGCCGCGCCCGCCCCTCAAGGCCCTTCCCGGCGCTGCCCCCCGCCCCCACAGCCGCGGGCCAGGCTCAGAGCCGGCGGCCGCTGCGGGTCCCCTGCCCGCCCCGTTACCGCTGCCCGGGCCTCACCGGAGCTCGACACCAGGGCTGGCCCCAACGTCCCGTCTCCAGGGGTGCGGCCTTCTCCTGAGGGGCGGGAGCCCCCCTCGCTTCTGAGCGCGGCGGGATGGGGTCGGCTCCGGCCGCGGCCTCCGTCCCCCTGGAGCGGGGAGCGGCTGCGAGGCTCCGGTGCTGCAGCCCCCGGGAGCCGGGCCGGTGGCGGAGGGGTGCGGGGGACTATCCGGGCGCAGGGCTCCCCGCCCAAGCCCCGTCAGCGGCGGCAGGAGGCCCGGCCTGGCAGCCGGGTGTCCCTCAGCGGAGGCTCAGCTGGAGGCCTCTTCCCGGAGCCAGCTCAGGGCTTGAGGGTGAGAGGGCGAGTTGCTTTAAAAGGCGAATGCGCTTCGTGGCCGGAGGAGCCAGAGTGTAAGTGGGTGAGTGCAGGAATCCCGCGGCTACCGCAGCCCTAGGAAAAGCTCCTAATTTATTTATATTTCTTTTTCCGGGGCTTGGCCTCGGCTGGAGTGAGAAAGGCCTGGCCTGTAATGACACAGTGTTTACTGGCTGTGGTTAACATAGTGGTCTGAAGTGCGAAATCCCCAGAAAGCCAATGAAAGTTGTTTGTCTCAACAAGGAAATTTTAAATGTGTGGGTGGCGTGTTGCTCCCCCTTCTTATGGAGTGCTGGAAAGTGTTGGTTTTAAAAAATAACTTGCAAAGTATGGGAATGGGTTCACGTTCTTCTTCATTCCCTTATGAATAAAGTTGCTCTGTAAGAGCAGAACATGCACTGCTGGCCTTCCCCGTGGGAGCTGCTGGGGCCGAAGGAGGAGCCGTGGCCTGATGTGGGTGGCTGATGCTTTAAAGTTTTGTTAGGGTTACCCTATCAATAAATGGTTACCTGTGTCTAAAAGCATGAAGATTTAATCATGGTCTTTAACTATATATATAATCATGTAGTGTTATTTTGTGCCATCTTCCCAGACCTACAAAACTTGTAGTCTTGAGTTCTGTTACTGAAAACAGGCCTGTAGGTGAATGTGTAAGTGAGAATTTCAGGGTTCAGTCATTTCCTTTTTTGACAGTTAGTAATCCCTGGAAGGCAATTTCTCCTACTTTAAAGACTTCTAGTGTTGTTCCTGTCACTCCTATTTTTAGCTATGAAATAATGTTTCTCTGTGGAAGTCTTTCAAATCTTGACTTCCTGTTCTTGTAACAAGCTGCAAGAATGAACGTAATGGATTGAGAAAGTACTTCACTTTCAGTTATAAAGTTGATGTAAAAATCCTTTGTTGCAGCAAAGCTATTTTTTTTTATTTGCTTACTGCAGTTGATTGTTTTCTATAGACCCTCAGGCTTTTTAAAAGGCAGATTTTTGTCTTACCAAGTGAGGCTATGGAACTGTAACTTTAGTGGAGTTTCTGTTCGTGTTGGCCAAAACCAGTTGTGTTCTCTTTAACTATTTACCCTTTTTTAGTCTGAATAACAGTGATGTTTTCTGAACCTCATTTAGTGCCCTGTGATGTCTGGTGGTCATTTAATAAGTCCATTCAGGTAGAAAAGTACTGATGTGCTTTATTGTAAGCGGAAGTGTGAGAGAGCAAAACTGGGAAATGAGGCTGGTCCCTTGCCAGTCGAGGTACTGGTTAGATGCAGGGTTCATAGCAGCTTCCCCTTTATTGGCAGGGAGGGAAAAGTTCTCATCCTTTGGGTTGTACTCTCCAAACTCACATATTGTCTGTTTAGTTGTTCATAACTGCTTAAACACGTTACTAACAAGTATACTTTTTCATTTATTGTCTAGCTTGAAAATAAACCTGAGTGTGAAGGAGTAAACACCATGCAGAGAACAGAATTGAGCAATAATTCCTCTGCCTCCGAAGTGAGAGAGATTGTACAGAAAACCTGTCTGAGCTGAATACCTGGAAGAATCCAGGGAGCACCAGTTTGTACCAGGCAGGTCAGAAAGCACCCCCCTCTTGTTTTGCTCTCCGAGGTTGTACCACCCTCTCGAGGTCGATGGCGTGTTTGCAAAGGAGAAAATCCAGCACTCGTTTACAGGCCCAGAGTGTTTTCTCCAGATGACCGGGAAACGTCGTTGGGTTTTTGTGTGTTGCTTTTTTTAAGACAACCTTAGTATGTTCTGCTCATTAAGCTGGATAAGCAGCACGGTGTAATGGCCTGTGCCTTGGTTTTGATTCTGTAGATTGCCTTAGCCATATTTTTTTCTTAGCGAGTGGGCTGTATCCTGCACAGCTCTCTCAGGGTTCTAGAAACAGCAATCCCAACTACAGAGCTGTTCTTTCAAGAAAGGATTTATGCAGTGTCTGTGGCTGAGACTTTCTTCCTGTACTGTTGGGCAGCTTAGAGGCTGACCGTTTCTATGGAATATGCTTGGAAAACATTAAATATAAAAAGAACACAAGCAGTAGATCTGTTGTGGAGGTGATGATTAGAGCTCAGCATAATAAATGCAACTTCAGTGCTCTTTCTGACTCTTCCCTTCCATGACGCTCCTGCAGGTTTCACGAGGAACCTGCCCACACCCGGGCTGTGCTGGGGAGGAGAGGGCCCAGCTGAAATCTGCTGCTTTCCTGCTAACTGTCAGGTCTGTGGGACAGCCTCAGGCGCTGTGAGACTGCCAGGAACAACTCAGCAAACCTGGTAAGATTGGGAACGGGATGTGTGTTACACAACAGGGAAGAAAAACATTACATTATTTCTTCTCATTGTGGCATTGAAATGCTACTTTTCTGAGGTTTCTGGCTTTCTCAACGGGTGCTAGAAGTGCCAAGTATGTCTGTTTCTTAGTCTTCTAAGAATTGTTTACGTTTTAATCTGCCTCCCCCTTCCCTTCTAATTCTTGTGTGCCTCCTGGGGAGGGTAGCACAGGACAATGCTGGGTGCATCAAAGGAATCACTTAATTGAGGTGACCAATTCTGTGGCACGAAAAGAAGAACATGCCTAATAAAAAATTGCAGTTGTATTTACATTTATTGCATTAGCCTGTTAAAGAGTGCTTGATAGAGTGTCTTCAGGAGGAAATCCTAGAAAACATTCATGGGTTATCAGATGTCCATATGGGCTGAGGTACAGAAAAGAACATGTCTACGTTGGAGCATACTGGTTTATACATTTAAAGGCATGAGAAATTACCTTGTCCCACTGGTGAATGCACCAGTATGGAATGGTTCTGAATCCAGTTAAGCTAACTGGAAAGATAATTTTCTTTTTTTCATCTTTTTTTCTTTTTTTTTTTAACTGGAAGAGATATTAGATGGTTTCCTTCACAAGATCCATGTTAACAAATCCCTTGGCAATTAAGCTGATTTGGCAACTGAAAATGGATTCCTTGTCCATCTAGTGTGCATAGCTTATTACATTAACTAGTTGGGCTACTGGTTTGGGCTAGTCTTAAACAAAGAAACAAAAAAGCAACCCCACAAGTAATTGCAATTTCAGCATAAGCTTTATTCTCTATTATAGATGTGCATAGAATTGTAAGAAGAGGTTTCTACCAGCTTTAGAAAGCATTCATATAGCCTTCAAACATTTAGAATAATCACTGTATTTACTAAGGAAAAGAGATAAGAAAATAAGCCCACATGTGACTCTGTGATTAACCTTGCCCTTTATTATTTTTGGCTTGAGATCTTGTATTCTTCCTTAAATGATACTCTGTTTCAGTGTCTGCAAGGGAAAACTGCTCAGGTCCACATGCTTCTGTCTTCTTTAAAGTTGTGAAATCAGAAATAATTTCATTTTAAAGTAAAAGTTAAAAAAAATCAGGCCATCAAGTGCTGCCTTTGTCCTTCATCTTGCCTCAGTTTTTCGGCTGAGTTTCTAAAAAGACAAAAGATAAAGATTATTTTGATAGTCTAAATATTTTTCTGAAAGTTCTGTTTTGATTATCTGTCTAAAAGTTCTAGCTGAGAAAAGAGGGAAGTGCTGGGATGTGAGGGCAAGGGGCAGTGTGAGGAGGGGAAGCCTTCCCTTCTGCTTAAGAGACTTTAATGGGATTCTTCAGAGTTCAGTGAGCAGTTTCTAACATCAGGTACTGGAGCGGTTCTCTTAGGCGCTGAATGTCTTACGTGACAAATGAGATGACAAAAGCTGCCTGGTGTGGTTTGGTGGGGTGTTAGATTTTTTGTTTGTTTGTTTGTAAAAGCTCTGCTCTCCTGACTGGGTGAGCTGTACCTTTAGCATTCTCCTCACGCATGTCCCCCAGCATCTTCTCCAGCACTTGTCCGTATTCTTGATACTCTTCTTCTGTTATCTTGACACCAATTTCAAAGGGAACATTAAACTGTAAAAACATTAAAAGACAGAGTTTAACAGACAAGTTCTGGACAAGGACACTGCAAGTTAATTTTATTCATGGGAATGCTGAAAGCAAGAGGTATAAAAGGTTATTCCATCTGTTCACTTACTAGCACTGAGACACATAACCAAAAGCTCTGAATCAGGGTGTAGGCTACCGCAGACCACACTGCACAATAAACTGGAGGAAAGAAAACTTTCCAAGAAACTCACATTATTATATGTTAGTTCTGAGATCTAAGTGAATCCTAAATAGGAGATTGTGATCTGAATGACTGCAGCTAATTTTATATCATTTCACACCATCAGGGCTGGCAGTTTTCATGTGCCTTTTCCTACTTGCCTTTCAAATTAAACATGATTGTAGTTTTAATTTGTAGTTTCTACTGTGACAGAGATTGCATTACCCAAGCCCACCCCTTAAACTTGTATGTGAGGAGGAAGAAGAAAAAATACAAACCTTAATTTCAATATTGTTACTGTCATCTTCTGCCCCTGCTTTATCTGTGTCCCAAAAGCCTTCTGTGCCTCGACGATGTAATTGTGGTGTGGGATGTTTTGGAGCCTTTTGTTGCTAGAAAGCAAGCAAAATAACATCTATATATTATTTCCATAACCAAACTGGTCTGTAGTGGGGAAATCGGAACCCCAAATTAACACAGATGCAGCAGATTAGCTGAAGGCATCACACACTTATGTGTGTAGGATGGAATCAGAGTCCTCCAGGGTGGAAAAGACCTTTAAGATCATCAAGTCCAACCGTTAAGGATAGACAACAATAATGATAGGCAGGTCTATAATAATTGCTACATGCACTTTAATAGCAATTTGGTTTAAGGGTTCCTTAAATAACAATCACCTTGCAGTTAATTTCCAAAGAAGATGCCAACAGATTATTTAAATGAATGTTTTCTCCTCAATTGGTTTTTTTTTTCCAGATTATTAATTCTTAGTGACTGAGATGAGACACATATTCTCATAGCATGAATACAGTGCTAATGGTTTGGTACAGAAGTTCTCTGCAATAACTCCTTCCTCTTCCAGAAAATAAGTCTTCTAAAAGCTTCTCTGAACACCCTAAATAATGTTGGCTTTAAGGACTTAGAGAGGAGGACAATTTCTTTCCGATTTTTTTTTTTACCTGTGTTCTTTTATATTCAGGACTTAAAAAACTAGAGCCAGCCAGAGTAGTTTCTGTCCAGAGGATGCTGTAAAGAATAATGCCCAGCAGAGTCCCTCTGAGAAACATGATTATCCTCGTGAGGCAGGATGTCAGACCTGAAAGCATAGGTTGAAAAATTAAACATATTTTGCAATCTCTATATTTAATTGAATCCAGACCCTGTGAAAGTCTTTCTCCTGACTTGAATGACTTGAAATTATTTCTAAAGATGGATATGTAAAGCAAACAGAATTTTTATATATTAAAGGTAAAAATATTCTGTCCAAAAGAATTACAGGGGAAAACCGGCAAAAGCTGAAACTTTACCTGCTGAGTTTCGTGGCTTCACCAAACAGCCGCTTTCTGAAGCGCTTTATATAGTGAGTGGAGTATTTGTACTGCTCTGCAACATCACTGGAAATACAATCTGATACGTGTTTAAATTCCGTGGAAAGCTGGCTTGCTTGCAAAAGAACAAAATCAACAAAACAGGGAAAAGTGCATAGATTTGTTGCTGCGCTTATTTTTATATAAAATGAAACTGTGTAGGGAATGAAGTGAGTTTCCTTTTTTCCCGTGACATTAACATTGTTCCTTTTAAAAAATAATTAACACCTGTAACATTTTTATTTTTTTTTTCCAAAAAGAAAAAGCCCCAACCCCTTTTTCTTACCAGAGGTGGTGGGACAGAAATGGAAAAGTTGAGCTTTATTCCTGACCTGTGGTGACAGCTGTTTCTCATTTCTGCCTTTAAGTGCAGTCTCTCTTCTGTATTCTCTCCTGGGATCTATTTTATCAGATTTTGTCATCTTTTGCTGGAAGACCAAAACTGAAAATGATAACTAGTATACTTGGCTTCCATGACTGTAAAACCAGAATATTAACAAGTTTCTAGAACTTCAGTGAAGATCATAGCAATGACTGAGTGTCTAGAACAATCCCATGAAGAGAAGTAGGGATTATTTTTTTTCACTTGAGAAAGAGTAGGAGAAAAGAAGGACTATATGATGAAGGATGACGAGTGTGTGACTTCTGCTGCTTGTGTTTTGCTGTGATGTCTCTGGTTTGCAGGCTCTCTTTGGGGCTGTAGCCCCACAAACTCCCAGCAGTAGGACTGTGGGAGGCACGGTAAATGTGTGGAGGTGGGAAGATGAGGAGGAATTCAGTTAAATCAGATTTGCTGTGGGAGAAGATGTAGCACGTAGCATTTATAACCATCGTAACTGTGCTATGGCCAAATAAGACTTTAGCACGTCTGTGGAGTTGGAAAACTAGTTTCATTTGGGGATGCAGTTCCATTTTTTTTCCTTCTGCAAACAGGATTTAAGAGCTTTCCTCATTTTGTGTCTCATGTTGTGGCTTTCTGGTTGAATTCTTCAGATATTGTGCAGTCATGCTGTAAGTCAGGTTTGTGAAATGATCCAAATATTAAAAGCAAATCACTTCTGAAGTGTGTCTGGTATTAGCTGAATTGGCAAAAACGAGGAAGCTGGTACCTGTGAATACAGGAGCTGGGAACAGATGGAGGTGAGGAGTCAAAAACCCCTCCAACAACAAAGCTGGGTCAAGAAACTCTGCTAGAGTTAATCTTCATCCTGGCTTCTATCTGAAGGCTTGTTAATAACAGTGTTCACTAGCAGAAGGAAAGCAGGGAGAGCTGCTGGACCCTGAAGCAGCAGTGTGGAAGCAGAAGCCCCTCGCGTTTTTGTAGAACACTAGGCCAGGCACAGACTCGAGCTATTTCTGGGTTCCCAACGGGACAGGGAGATGTGTCCCCTGTAGCTTCCAGGAGCTTGGTCTTGGATCAGCACCTTCTGCTTTATTAAGGCCTGTCCAAGTAGTGAGGAGAACAGGAATTTAGATAGGCCATTGTACAAAACAGAGGAGTTTGTTTATTTTCTAAGTTCCCAGTGCCCCCGTTTGCCATGAAGGCCAGGCTAGTTCCAGTGTGTCAGCAGGAGACGTGCCCGAAACTTCACAAACTTCACAGTGCGGATTGAACAACAGAACTTCATTTCTTGTGAGGAAACTCCTTTCAGCCAGTGCAAGACACACACATTTCTTCTTCTCGGGCCAGAGCCAGTGCACAGTGGGCACAGGAGAGACCCTGTGGCCTCCATCGGGCTGTGCAGCAGCTTCAAGCTCTTCAGTGTGAAATCGATGTTGGGTACAGCATTTTTTCTCTTTTCCCCATCCTGACCCCAAGAGGAGGAGGGGATTAGAGATCAAAAATATGAAGCTTATGGTCAAGAGCAACTGAAAAACTTTCACCTAATGCTTTTATTTGCAATGACTAAACTCTGTAATGCTAATTTCTAGATGAGCTGATTAATTTTTGGCATAAGGCTACAGTGCATTTAAACAAGAACAGGAATGTTGCCTACGTGGGTTGGTAATCAGAAAGAATTCATTTATATATCTCTGTGAGAGCAACTAGGATAGTATTTGGCTAGTATTGATAACGATCATAAAATGAAGTTTGTTTTTCTAGAAAAGGGGTGTATTATCTTGGCTATGCCCAAACAAAGAGCGAGCCTGGAAGCACTACCTTGGAGAAGGAGGAAGGCTACAAATCGTTCACTTGTGGTGCTTCAGTGCAGCTGAAGAATAAAGGGAAAATGTGACCTTTTAGTGAAGTATTTTCTCTCCTGTTCTGTTTCAGCGGATGGCACACTGGAACGTGGCTTGTTGGAGCTTAGTACACTGTCCGGAAGCGCAATGGCACATACGCTTAACTGAAGGTAAAACTCTGTTCTTTCTTAGGCTCTAGGAGTGTTAGTCTCTGGTGGACTGACACCTTCCCGGGTATCACAGAGCTAACACCATGGACAAGAGGACGTGGCTGAATGTGGACTGGAGACATGCTTGACAAGGCCTCTGGGAAAAGACTATTAAATACAGCACACCAGGCTTTAACCAATAGGACTTTATTCTGTTGGTATCTCAAAAAAACCCATAACCGCCTGAGGTACAGTACAGAAGTGTGGCTAAAAAAAAGAAATATCTTCAAGTTGTGGTTTGATTTTTTGATTTTGGTTAAATAACCAAGTTTAAGATTATTGTAAAGCAAAAGACACATGCATTCCACTACTCCTTTTCAGGCAAGCACAGAGACTTTCTTATATCCAAGGAGGTTATTTTCAGGAAGAGCTAAGCACTGCTTCACTGCTACAGAAGGGCTAGTGAGCATGCTGCCATCTAATGCTGGAAACCCCAGCAGCCCTTCCCCTTGTTTGGGACAAAGTTCTGGCCTTTGAAGGGACAGAGTGTCCCCTGGCACGAAGGATTTCACCCCTCACCACCCTGATAGTCTCCTCCTGTTCCCACTCAAGTGCTGGGAGCCCACAGCACATCCAGTACAGTTTGATCCCCAAACCAGAAAAGCAGGGTACGGTTTCTGCAGCATCAAGGAGTAGTGTAAGGCACAGTACTTTGCCATGCTCTTTACCTTAAATTTATGGGAATGTTGATTAAGGCTGATCATCATCATATTGTAGCCTCCCAGTAATAGTTATAGAGTGCTCATAAAATTGGATAATTGTTTCCCATGTTCATGTCCAGTTTAGATAAAAATCAGTTCTCATCCGTTTCGAGAAACATTGCAAATCAGGGATAGTGATCACTGGTGGCAGCTGAACGTTCCCTCATGCATCACTGCTCGTTCTGCTGCCCCTCGGTAACGGCAGACACCCCTCCCTGGCCCTTGTTGACATCGCTGATACACGCCCACAGTCCGTCCACGGATTCCTTCCACAGCGTCACCTCAAAAACAGAGCAAGAAGGAGTTTCAGCCTTAATACATTCTGTTTCCCAGTCCCTTGCAGCCATCACGTCACTAGTTTGGTGACAGCCTACAGCTACAGCAGGCAACTGTTGCGGAGTTGTTCTAAGTATCAAGTTCTTTGTTGCTATATATGAATAATTACCCAGTGGTAGGGTATATGAATTCTGCCGTTAGTACCCTACAAAATAAAGCTAACCCTGCATTTCTGATCTCCAGTAAGGACTAAGAATGCAGTGCAAAGTAGTTTGTCAAAGGTTAGGGTCTTCCCCCACGCTTGATAGGTCAAAAGAAAAAAATTGACCATTGCAGCAAAGGAGAGCAGCCCCAACTTAAGCAGATGTGACAATGGCCTGTCCCATCCCAGGTCCCCTGAGCACATGGCATGGGGGGTGAAAGCTGAGGCAGCAGAACTCACCTTATTGTCTCCTCCGGACACTGCAAGGATGTTGGCAGTAATGGACCAGCTCACGTGCCAGACAACGTCGTTGAACTTGTGCAGCAGCTTTGGCGACCATGAATTTCCAGAGGCATCATCACACGTCCAGATGAATACCCTGCCATCCTGCAGAAGAGCAGATGCACCTACTGCAATTGGACCACGAATTACAGCACAGAAAACCCAACCTGGAATGCACTCACGGCTGCACTTCCGAATCACCCCAGATGTGCTTATGTGCATTTTTGCTCAACACGGCAAAGGGGCTGCTTTTTTACTGTAGCTAAAGCAAGGCAGGCGTACAGCCCTCTGATGAGAAAAGCTACGTACAAAAAGTGACTTGCAAACACCAGAGAAAAGCTCCTAAAATACATACAGATCAGCAGAATGAGATATTACTTTCCAGTCACATGACGGGAAGTTAGCAGCTTACCAAGTAGTGTTCTTTTTATGAAAAAAGAAGTGTTTACAGAATTCTTAGCAGCAAGAACACTATGGTCAGTATGAAGGCTGAGGACATCAGACCTGATTAAGAATATGCCAGTAATTAGAAAACAGTATTTTTAGCTGGAAGTTCAGTGAATTTGATCCAGAGACATTAAAATACAGCATTAGCTTGAAGGTCCCACTGGGTGCTGAGCTTGGGAGGAAGAGGAGTCAAAGGCTCTCAGGCACAGACCCAGATTTAGCAAGGCCAGCCAAGAGGAGCTGTGACAGCAGGTCCATCCCTACTGTTCCCTTAGTTCTTTCCCCTTTTCTGTAGTGGATGGCAGTGAGGGCACTGTCCCTCTGTCACTCCTCACCTGTGAGCAGCTGGCAATGGTACTCGTGGGCAAACCAATGGACGGAGCCCAGGCTACGTCTCGAACCCAGTCACTGTGAGCCTCCAGCTTCTGCTCCTCTTTCCACTGACCATCTTCTTCCCTGAAACCACACTGACAGTCAGAAGGGCGGCCGCAGCAGCCAGTCGTGTTTCTTATCTCCTGTTCTGGAAGGCTGTGAGTTTGCAGCTTTCACACTCCTGGCTTATCGGATAATCCAAAGCACAAGTGGTCTCCACTCCTCCCCAAAAGGCTCTATGGCTTTAACTGACAAACCCCCCCCGGGGGACAGGAAACAGCATAGGCCAGGATTATTGGATCTTCAGTGACTGTACAGAAACCTGCTGTGTCTGAATGGCAGAGGGAATCACAGACAATGAGAGAGCCACTTTCCCAAGTAAGATTAAGCAGGGCTGACACAGATTGTAGTGTGGTTGTAGCAATCACGGACATCTCTAAGTTGTTTCTATCTCTAAAACAATAATTCAAAGATGAAAGCATCAAGATGCTGAAAATATGACTTGAGATACAAACGGGGACATTCAAAGGCTATAAAGGAGATCAAGTTTTGTGTGTTTCTAAGTCTGGCAGCAGAGCACTTACTTCCAGATCTTGACGAGGTTGTCACAGCCACCAGATGCAAATCTTTTGATGTAGTTTGGTTTCTGACCAGACGGTTGTTCTATCAGGCTTCCCGGTACCACAGCAGGAGCCCAGCTCACGGCATTACACCCGATCTATTCAATGAAAAAATATCATTGTAAGAAGTTGCTTACTTTAAATACATAAATAAAAACTGCCAAGGGGCAAAGGACACCTAGCATGCTCTACAAGGAATTAGCCCATGTTACGAAACCAGGAGCCTGGATGGATGGATATGGGATAAATAAGAAATCCAGATGCAGTCTGTCTCAATAGGGCACTTATTCCGAAAGCCTCAGGTAGCCAAGTAACTGTTTTATGTGCAAACATCATCTGGGATACGTAAACAGTGGAGACAGAGATGGAAACTGAAGAGACACAAGACATACATGGTTGCTAAGATTCAGGAACGCAGGAGCAGAAGGAACCTGTGGGTCCACAGCCCCATTTCCTTTTATCGCGAGCCACTGCTATTAGCTTATCACATTCTGCGTCAGCAAAAATCTCCACTGTTTTGGGAAAAACATGAGTCCTGCAGTTTTTGCAGCTTCAGTTCATCCACAGTCAGTTTGTACAGGTGTGCTTAGTACCAGAGCCATTTCCCACCAGGGAACTTCTAGCACTGTGTTTAACAGCAGTGCTTTATAACCAAGTATTGCCAGTGCTGTGTAGTAACCTTCACGTATTGTTTCCTTCTTCATTTTAGTGCCTACAGAGTATACCTTCCCACCCGGGATTTATTTAAAGCAAGTTATTCTTGATTCTGGAAAATGTTTCACATCATTTAATTGTATTTCAGTGTTTATCTACAAGTTCTCTGCAGCATCAGCTGGGTGTCTGTCCGTGGCCCCCAGAGCCCTGTGCTGCTCCCGGGCGCAGACTCACCGTGTGCGCGTTGCTGATCTTCTTGACCTCCCACTGCCCGTCGCCCGTGTAGCTCAGCAGGGAGATGGCCCCGTCTGAGCTCCCGCAGGCCAGGATCAGGCCGTAGTCGTGTGGAGCCCAGCAGACAGAATTCACTGCGAGGGGTGAGACAGACTGCATTACAACACACACAGGGACCACCTAACACTCATTAACTGATCCACTGCCTAAGATTAGTGGAACAGTCACTAAAAGTGAGCAGCCTGGAAAGCTAAAAGTAAGGGTCTCAGCACTGTGAATTTCGGCAGAGCCAGTCAATTAACATTGCTTACTGAGTGATGGAAACCTGCCCTCCTGTTGGCATCCGTTTTAGAATGAGAACAATAAAAGAGCACTCTTAATGAGATTAGAAACTCTGACTGTCCCTCACAAGCATGGCTGTAGAACAAAAGCTGAGTGGCAGGCACAATATTTAAAGTCTAGGTTAGTAATAAAACAAAGCTGGAGGCTTTGCAGATCTGCACGTAGGAGGACCCATCACCTGAACAAACCAGTTTCCATTGTAAAAGAAAATGCAGCATGCTAAAATCCACCTTCTTCCTTTCTCCCTGTAGTGGATATATATCATATTTTCCCCAAGAATTCAGTATCCTACCATCTTGTTTCTTTGAAAACTGATTTATTTGTACAACAACTCCTATGCAAACCTGGTATGAATCAGGGCAGGAGGTGACAGGAGGTTATCTGTGCTGAACAGACTGTCTCTCCGTTAATGTATCCCTATCTGTTCAATGGAGGGCTTCGTCTTTAACACTGAGGGATTTACTCCAACCTCATCTGCATCCTCCCGTCCCCCACGCTCCCTTCGCAGCTCCGGACCACGCGTACCTGAGGAATCGTGCCCCGTGTACTCGTACGTCTTCTCCCAAGTGCCATTCTCCTCCTTCCAGATAATGACCTTCCTGTCGTAGGAACAGGAGGCCAAGATATTGCCATACATGGGGTGAGCCCAGGCGACCTGCCACACGGGACCTTCATGCCTGCAAGAAACAGCGCCCTTTGGAGAAGCTGAGGGAAACCTGCTCCCGGTGCGGCTGCTGCACAGCCATCAATGTTGTGAATCGGTAATATAGTAATGATAAACAACTAATGCAGGGATAGGAGGAAGGAGAGTAACACCAAAGTGAAACACAGCACATGGGACTGTCTGACAAAGCCACCGCCATGGAAAGCGATTCCAAACATTTATCCTTACATTAGCAATTAATACTGTGAGTCTACTTGAAAATTATAGGTGTCAAGCATTTAATAAATTAACTGTCTCGCTGTCCCCCTTACAGCTCTGAAGAGCTGCTTAGCAACAGCCAGCAGTATTGCCAGCAGTAACCATACCTTGGAGGAGTTCACTGAGCAAAAGGACAAAATAATAACATTTTCCACAGATCATAAACCTTCAGTTTATGACACTTTACCCTCTCAGGTCTGCAATGAGGATTTGCCCTCCGTTCCGAACATCAAAGATTTTCACGGATCTGTCCGAGGAGCAGGTCGCCAGCCGAGTGCCGTAGTAATCCATCTGCGCATCGTGCTGCAAGGCAACGGAGAGCTGCATCAGCCCTGCCTCAGCAAATCCTGCTGCTTTTTGAAAATAGCTGTAAGAATTGCCAACGGATGACCCAGTCCCGGGGGGACAGGTTAAACAGGAGAGTTTTTAAACAACCCAGACAAGCCACATAAGCCGTTTATTTCCCCAGTTGCTGTTTTCACTAAGTGTACAAATGTTACACAGAAGCGATGGAGGGAATTCGGAGCAATAATGCACAGCACTTTCAGGAGAGGAGGGGAAATTAGCACCATTGACTGTGAAGCCTTGGCCAGCTACACATTTTTGTTTCTTAGTCTGTAAAGTGGGCATAAGAATACCGACACCTCTTAGGTATGTTTGAAATGGCATTATCTAACTGGGCTCCTCACTTCCACAAATTACTTTGCAAGTTTTCCTCCTGGCTGTTCTTGCACATCTGCTCCCAGAAACATCCACCTGTGGGAGAATCAGCTCCGTCTCCCCGAGTTCCCTGCCCTTCAGCATTGTGGTACGAAACGCCCCTACCCGTTAGTGTGCTACAGAGCTTTGGCAGATGAAACTGATGTGCCTTTACGTATTTATCTGCATGTTATCTACACCAAATAGCATACCAAATATGCTAAATTTTGGTATAAAATGGTTCACTTTAGTATACATACTGCTTCATGAAAATGAGCAGAAACAAGCCTAGGTACACCTGAAGTTGTAAATCATTTCCCCTTCCCCGGTACCGGCTTCCCCGGGCCCTGTCGGCCAGTGCCGGTTCCAGCCCGCGCTCTCCCCGGCCGCTCCGTAGGGTCGGTACAGGACCCCCCCCCGGCGGGCAGAGGGGCGAGCGGGCCCGGGGGTGTGTGTGCCGCCCCCCGCACACTTACGATCATGTCCTCGTGAGAGGTGTCCACCGTGTTGATCACCGACACCTGCGGGGGGAAGGAGAGACGAGATGGAACGGGGGGCACCGCAGCCGGCCTCCCGCACCACCCGGGACCCCGGCCCGCCCCGCCGGGCCGCCGCGGAGCCGGGGCCGCCCTTAGGCCGCACCGGGGACACGGCCGGTCCTCCGCCGCGCTGCCCCCGCCGCCTCTCCCTCCCGCGGAGGAGAAGCACGGCGGCCCGGAGCCCCTCCAGCGCCCTCCCG